AAAGTTTGAAGTTTGTATTATTTTCAATCAATTGAGATATTGTAACTTCTCTTAAATGGAACTCAACTATCTATATATATGAGATATTAAATACCATCATGAATAAAAGCTATAAAATTTTAAAGTTATAGTTGTATTAATGTATGCCTTTGTTCGAAATTTCATGATAGAATAATTTTCAAAGTTAGATAAACATCGTATTGAGATTTAAATAAAGAAAATAGCTATATAATTATTTTTTTATTGTTAGAACAAAATAATCATTCTTGTCCTTACAAACTTTGTAGAAATATCGTATGAACTTGGAAAGGACAGTAGTTCAAAAGTTGGTTTCAGATATGAGTAAAATCACATTTAGTAATACTAATCAATTATTCACAAGAAAAGCAACTGACAATATTTCAACTAGAGTTCAACAACTTATGCCAGAAAATTTAAATTTTGTTGATCATATTATACAAGTTGACCATCAAAACTTCCAGTCTAATAAAAGGTAGAAAGAATTGGCAAGAATATTGTGTCGTCGTGTAAATAAAAAGTCTCATCATATTGTATTTGAAGAGACTTCTGTAGAGTTATCATTTTACAAGAGAGATATGAAAGCACTAAAAATGGAGGAACTAGTACTACAGTAGATGGCTTAGCTATGTTGGACAATTTTTATTCTATACCACATTCAACCGAACTTACTCCACTTATTTCTGGAAGCAAACTGATTGTTCAAGAAGTTTTTTTAATTTTTTAGATTTGTTCGTATATATTTTTAAATATTCTTTTAAGTTCAAGAAGTTTGCAATGTTACTAAAGTATTAATTTGATGATTTTTAGTGAACAATTTACTGCATTTAAAACATTGAAGCAAAATAAGAATGAGATGAAAATAGTTCTTAGCTTAATTTATGGGCAAGACCTAGAAGATTTTTTTCATGGACTAGACTACACTAGTTTAGAAAAGTTAAAAGTATGTCATCTTAACTTTACCATCAAGATTTTACTATATACTTGTGTTTTATCATTAAATGTCATGTTCTGAAAATACAGTTTAAAATTTTATGCGAATTAAGCAAGTTCAAACATACAATCATATTGTTTTTCTTTACTTTCTGTTATTTTTTCCACTTTCCCTTCCTCCGACCAAAGAGCGAAGATGGTTGTATATTTTGAGGTCAAAGGGTTCTTAAAAGATTTAAATTATTAATTTTAATTTTGTAATTTCTTAAATTCTTTTAGAACATAAATGATCAAATTTCGTTGTATGCATGCAAAGTTAAATTTGCACTGTTTTAATCCAATAATGAAAATAAATATTATATCATAACCTACAAGAAAATATTTAAAATGATTGTCAATAGAAATGCTTACAACTTTTGATTTCTTATTTTACTGTGCAACAAGGTATGATTAGTCGTAAATTTGTTTAATAATTCATTGTCTTACACTATGTATAGGAAAAATTCGAAGGTGTTAATAAAGAGGAAATATATTTCCTACTCCATTGTGATTCTACTAAATTCAAAACTTAGAGTAATATTTTCTATAGCTATATTTGATCATATAGAATATATTCTAAAAATGTGATATAAAGAGTTACGCATATTAAGAAACTTTGTACACAATATCATTTTTCTCTTCACTATTATTCGTATTTAACTGCGTTTGCTTGCCTAGTTAATTAATGGTGTTGATAATATAGTTTGAGGTGAAATAATTGTAAATATATGATTGAATAACTATTGATTTACTCGTTTCTTATATATTTTAGAACACAAATAATTGGACTTTGTTTAATGAAACAGTAAAATATATTTTTGATAAGATAATTCAACATTAACGACTAAAATTATATCATAGGTTGCGAATAAGTAGCGTTAAAATAATTATCTCTAAATTCACTTACAATTTTTGGTGTCTTATATTTACATGTAGCAAGAAAATTATGAAGATATTACAGCGGAGAAAACACCATTCGATCTCCATAACGTTCTTCCAAATTCGGAACTTGAGATGATTTTTTATATACCTTCGTCTTTAATAGAATACTTTATTATAAAAATATAATTTTGAGTTGACCAAAATAAAAAGTTTTATACATACTTTCACTTTTCCTCTTCATTATCTATCTACTTTACGCACTTCATCTCCCCTAGTTATATAGCGGAGATGATCGAACATATTCTAATCGGGGTGATTCCCAAGTAATTGTCTGGTTAATTTTAAATTTAATCATTTCTTATATTTTATAGATAACAAATGATATTAATTTTTTTATACAAAATTTAAATTTTTGTTGTATAAGATAATTTAATAATGACTCAAAAATCAGATCATAACTTATAAATACATAGTGTAAATAATTATCAGTAAATATTTTTATAACTTCTATTGTCTTATTTCAATGAATAGCTAAGAAATTATGGAGGTGTTCCTACAAAGGAAGAATTGTTCCAAGTTACGATAGAGAAAGTACCATTTCAACTTTATTATGATTTTTCAAATTCGAAGCATGAGATAATTTCTAGTCTATAAGTTTAAAAATAGAACATTTAATTCTGTAAATATAATTATAAAACTAAATGAATTAAGAAATTTGTAATCTATGTTGACTTATTTTTCTATGAACAAAAAACGTATTGTGATATTGCTGAAGATGAAAAATCCTTCAATTTTTGTATTGAATATAAAATCTCAAACAATTTTTAATCTGATATGTTAGATCATAGAATAATCAGTCTAAAAATATACTTATAGAGTTGAGAGAATAGACAAATATTTTACACGCTATTATGTTTTGAGGTGAAAAGGTCTCCAGAAAATTTAATTACTTATTTTTTATTTTTTATTTAATTATTTGTTAAATTTTAGTAGAACACATATGATATACTTTTATTGTATGAAAGGTAAATTTTGTGATGCATACGATAATTCGATAATAAAACTCAAAACTACACCATAGCTTATGAACACACAGAACCAAAATTATAATTAGTAAATATGCTTACAATTTTTGATGCCTTAGTATGTGCAGCAAGAAAATTATATAGGTAATACTACATAGGAGGAGTCCTTCCAACTTAAATATAATTCCTCAAATTCCGAAGATGAGACAGTTTCACTTATGCCAGTGTGATAATAGCATATTATATTCTGAAATCATATTTATGATGAACTTTTAGAATTAAAATCGATGTATACACTATATTTTTCTTACTTGTTGTTCTATTTATTAACTTTCACTCCTCTAGTTAATTAGTTGATATGAATGTGTATTTTGAGGTAGTTTCTAAATAGTATGGTTGATTAAGTTTTAGTTTACCATTTTCTTACCTTTTTGTAGTGTAAAAATGAACTCCTTTTATTAAATGAGTGGTTATATATGTGTTAAATAAGATAATTCAAAATACAATATCAAAATTAAATCCTAACTTGTGAGTAAATAGTGTGAAAATAATTTTTATGAAATATACTTACAACTTTTGGAGTTTATTTTAGGGAAAATGCACAAGTACCTCCTCAACCTATGCCCGAAATCCCAGAAACACACTTATACTATACTAAGGTCCTATTACCCCCCTGAACTTATTTTATAAGTAATTTTCTATCCCTTTTTAGCTTACGTGGCACTAGTTTGAAAAAAAAGTCAATCATCGTTGGGCCCACAAAATAGTGCCACGTAGGCTAAAAAGGGTAAAAAATTATTAATAAAATAAGTTCAGGGGTAAAAGGACCTTAGTATAGTATAAGTGTGTCTTTGAGATTTCGGATATAGATTGAGGGGGTACTTGGACATTATCCCTTTATTTTACTAAGAAGCAAAATAATTACAATGATATTACTTTAGATGAAAGATGGTCCGATTTTGTAATGTTTTCTCGAGTTCGGAACCTCAGGTAACTTTTTTGTATACTTATATTTGGTCATAAAATACTACATCTAAATTTATACTTATAAAACTGAGAGAATAAACAAAAATTGTACACAATTATTTTATCTTCACAATCTACTGTCGTTCCACCCACTTTTCCTCCACTCGTTAATTGTGAAGACAACAGTACATTTTAATTCACAAGTAATTCAAGCTACACCCTTTCTACACCAAAACGTTTTACCTAGTTCAGAATTTGAGGTAGTTTTTTTTTTGTTATATCTGTGTTTAGTCACTGAACATTGTATCTTAAATGTATAGTTTTCAGAGTTAAAGAAAATTAATTTTTTTGTACACAATATCTAGATCCTTTTACCCAAGTTTCTTCCCCGATTATTTTTTAGAGATAATTTGATATTTTGAGATGAAAAGATTTCACAAATAATTTGGCATGTTAATTTTGTAGAACATAAGTTTCAGATTTTTTTAATATGAAATATTAAATTATTATTGTATAAAATAATTAAATAATGAAATATAAAATGATATCCTTTTTTGGTATAAATTCGTAGAACTTTTAATGTCTTATTTAACTATGGAGCAAGAAGATTATGGATGTTTTACTGCAGAAGACTCTTCATTCCTCCGTAGTATTTTTCATAAAGAATTGGAGGTAGTTTATCATATACATTTGCTTGTTTGATTATAGGACATTATGTTTTGAAGAAACATTTTTTTATAGTTGAACAAATTATTCAAGCTTGTATATATTATTATTTTTCTCTTCATGCTTTTATTTATTGTTTAAGAACTTTTTCCCTTCCTCTTTAAGAACTTTTTCCCTTCCTCTAGTTAAGGAGGAATTTTTGACCAAAATAAGCTATTTTAAAAATCAATTTACATAATTAATACGTTTTTAATTTTTTGTACAAAAATAGTATAAACGTACTTTATGGTAACGTTTTAGGCTTTATTTGATTTAAAAAAAAATTAACGCCGTTAACTTAATAAACGTTACTGACAGTAACGATTTTACGTTAAAACGTGACTTGACCCATCCCTTTCTTTAAACGTCGTCACTTTGTTACTGAAAGGCTCTGCTAAGCAATTCTAATTTCCTAATATATCTAAAAGGCTAAACCCTTTCACCCTTTCACTGTAAAAACAAAATTGGAGCCGCCATTGTCACTTTTGAAGCTTTGCATATGTAAATATTGGCTATCCGGAAGATATCTGAAAGAAATTTTACTTTATCAAGTAATCTAGTTGTTGTTAGAGATAGAGCACATCTGATCTCAAACTTCGCACAAGCATCTATAAGATATTTGTTGGTATCGTCACTTGAGAGATCCTTGAGTATATTCAAGTTTGCAATCTTCTCCAATTCCTCTACCATATCAATCCGTCTGCAGAAGCAACTCAGCAACACATAAGTATCTTAGTGCCTTGTAAACTAAACCAAAACATGACAAAGCAGAAAAGCTCCCAAACCTGAAGGGAGGAGTGAAGTCAATTTCAATTGGGTCACTCTCCAACCCTTTCGCATGATACTTGATTATATAGTCATCTGTATGTTCCTTGACCATCCCTGTTCATGTATGGTCAGTAATATAAAATTAGTTCCATTTTCGATCGGTAATTTGTGGACGAAGAGGAGGCGTTAAAGAACAAAAACACAGGAAGACAATGAATGAATTAAAATTTCATTTTGTGGATAAACGGTAGCTGTAGTTTTCCAAATTGATTTTGGGGATTTCTTGTTATATCGAGTTTCACGATAAATTGTGGCTATCAATCTTCTGGAAAGCTTGGAATCAAGTTAATTTCCTGTATTAGAGCCTTGAGGTATGTTTTTTTTCCTTACAAACTAGTAGATGGAATGCTTGAATTTTAGAATTTCTATCTTCTCGTATTTATATCGTTTTGGTTATATAGAATAATCACTCAAGAAATTCTAATCTGCATGTTCTGTTTTTATTTTGAATTCATGCATATTGTTGATGCAAAGAGAAACAATTTTGTGACAGTACATTACTTTGATTTGGTTGTTATATTTTGGACTAACAATTATATTTAATTTACTGTCATATGGATTTTTCAGTTTAATAGATACGTATATGACATGTTATAGTGC